GTGAGGACATTGCATTGTTTTAAGTGTTATGTACTTGAGAGAAGTTTTTTTTTTTTATGCTGTCTTATGAAGTATATGTCTGTGTTTCAGATATGCCGAAGTGTGTGGTGAAGGCATGTCCTCACGCTACGGGCCAGAAGACAGCATATCCAGATATCAGCCTCCACGCGTTCCCGCGGAAGATTCCACAGATGCAGGCCTGGCTGCGCCTAGCTGGCATGGATGAGGAGATGGTCAAAGACTTTACTGAGATGATCCTCGAGGATAAGCGATCGGACAAGTTTCGTATGTGTTCTGCCCACTTTACAGAGGAGCTACACCATGAAAGGTGTCCGGAGGGCTCTCAAAGAAGACTCTTTGCCGACCATATTCCCCAAGGAGGTTCCAATCTTTGATGAGACGCTTGATCCGTGGGTGAGGAGGAACAACAGGAGGGCCAGGAATGAATTCCTTGCCATGGAGCTCTACGGCGAACCATATGCAAGGCAAAGGAGATGTTCTTGTGATTGCCACAGGCAGAGTCACCTGGTGGACACAGCAACTCAAACGGACGCAGTCTTTATTTTAGCCATGGTGCAGCAGGTGCCGTATACAAAACTGGCGAGCCACAAGAGCATCACTATGGACCATGAGTACACCAGGAGTACGGAGCTTGGACTGGCAGGGCCACCACAGGCAGTGCCCATAACGACAACACAGAAGACCTTCCTCCCTCATGTTGAATTCCGACCAGCTGAAAACAATCAACAGGAGATGAAGTAAGTATACCTGCAATGTGTTGATGGCGATTATTCAACCCAGTATTCTAGTCTCATCATTCAGGGATAGGAATTTACTTGCAATAGATAAAAATGGCGCTGGAGGAGGTGTATAATACCCCAATACGCAAAGTTAAAATAGTATGTATTAAACTGCATCATAGTCCATCAGTTTCATAGCAGAAGTTAGCAGCAGCCCCATAGTGTGAAGCAGACTCTATCAATCTGGAAAAGGAACACAACGGGGCGCCAACTAAGTGCAGTATTTAAAACACAAGTTTATTGACATGTCTGATTTATCTGTGATCTGATGGTGGGTACAAGTCAGGTTCTCCAACTGGACTGATGTTTCTGCTCCTCACTGCACTCAAAGATCATGAGGGATCATGACCAGTGGAACGCAACCGAAAGTGGCGTCACCAGGAAGGGACGTGGTTACGGGTTTCAAAGCTTCCACTTCTTAAACCCATGCTCTCTATAATGTGTAACAGGTTGATAAAGAAGCGGAAGCTTTGAAATACATAACCACGCCCCTCCTTTCAGCCCTTTGGTGACATCATTTTCGGGTTCTGTTCCACACCATCCCTGCTATTTATGGTCGAGATCCCCCATGGTCTTTGAACGTGGTGAGGAGCAGAAACATCGGTCCAGTCGGAGAAATCTGACTTGTGTCTACCATCAGACCACAGGTAAATCAGACATACCTGCCTTTCTCTTTTTTACATATGAGTTGCCCATTGGCTTTTTTGTGTTTTAATACTGCACTTAGTTGTGGCCCCCTTGTGTTCCTTTTACTGTCCCCGCGTGACAGTTTCCCACTTATTTCCTCTCAGAAGAGCTTCTCATAACATTTTTTATTGCTATCCATGACCTCAATTTTTTTTCCCTTCAGAAAATTTCTGCTACAGGTTTACAGACCTGTTCTCCTGTATTTCTGGGCAGCCAGGCGTGACAGATTGTGAAATTTATTACTAAAGATGAGACCGATTGCCTGTCTAAACAGAGGCATACCTACGTGGTCAGGGTCAGAATTCATTCAGTCGTAAGTGCAACTTTAGCACGGCCAAAGAAGGAATTCTTGATTCAAGCCGTAACATTTTAATATATTTGTGGCACAATGCGTCTCCCTGCCACTGTTTAGCATTGCTTTGCATTTTGACTGGATAAATGCCAATATGTTGATGTAGGTTGACATTGCTATCGACTCTCCATGACACTCCGCTTTGCTGCTCATACCACAGCCCATCCCTCTTAACACTTTGGGCTGCGGCATGTAGCCAGCAACACCTCCTACCCTATTGTAGTGCCCCAGCTCAGCAGCCAGCACCAAGGATTTTGCTGCAGCTGTGATGGAGGAAGGGGCAACTGGAGAACACTGTGTAGGTGAGCAGTTTTGGGTAAAACAGCAGGCCTTAAAGTGTTACTGAACCCACAACAGTACAATCAGTCTGCAGATGCAGTAAAGAATGCTTGTTATACTCACTGTGGAACCTAAGGGGTTAATCCTCTGCATTGTGTAAAAAGGCTGTTTGATCCTGTCTTCTCTGATCCTCCCCTTCTTCCAGTGTTCCCCTCTTATCTCCTGATAACGTGTGGAGTCACTCTGGACATGCTCAGTTTGGGGTGTATTGCTAGAGAGGTTATTTTTTTTCTTTTCTTGGGAGAGTGCATGTGATCAGCACAGGGTCTCTCACCACTGTCCAGACAGAGGCCAGGGGTTCTGCATCCTGCTAGAGCAAAACTCTTTCTACCAGCTTTAACCCGTGCTCTGCTGGACACTGATGGAAGTCACAAGACTGCTATATAAATGATAAACCCTCTTCGTGTCAGTGAATCTTCTCAATTTTCTTCATTTATTTTGGACTGTCAAGGGTGAAGTGTGACTTTTTGAGTGTCAATTTTAGGGTTATTTGTGTTTTTTTGGATATTTTATTTATTTTTTTTGGACACTGGTTTTTGATTTTGTACTGCTCTATACTGCTGATGAGAAAAGGGATTTAGCTGTTTATAGTTGCTAAAATAATTGCATTTCCATGTTGTGTGTACTGTGGGAGAGCAGATATAGTGAATGCGGGGTCCGGGGAGAGCGGATATAGTGAATGCGGGGTCTGGGGAGAGCGGATATAGTGAATGCTGGGTCTGGAAAGAGCGGATATAGTGAATGCAGGGTCCGGGGAGACCGGATATAGTGAATGCAGGGTCCGGGGAGAGCGGATATAGTGAATGCAGGGTCCAGGGAGAGCGGGTATAGTGAATGCAGGGTCCGGGGAGAGCAGATATAGTGAATGTGGGGTCCTGGGTTTAGTAACACTTTAAAAAAGACCCTGTCGCTTTGCCCTAAACATTGTCTCTTTAATCCAACTTTTCTAGTTGTAGACACAGTGGGTACGGGTTCTGTCAGTCCATCCTCTGTGACTCCATTCTGGAAGATTTTCCTCCATTTTCTGGTTCTGTCACTAGAAAGTCACGAGTTCTTTAGGCAATCAATCCAGTTCGGGGATCGGCAAGCTATCGATCGTGACCTACTCATCACCCGCCGACAGCCAATGGGTAGATTGTGAATACGGCCCTGTATTGACGGTCTTTTCTCCCCAGGTTCCACTGCTCCCCTCTTCACTGCAGAGCGGGAGGTATCACAGTACTGGATTGAGGGCAGAAGCGGGAGCTGCCGGAGTTAAGTTTTCACATTAACCATCAGGTGATTGGTTGCTAGGATGCCGGGTGGTCCTGGCAACCAATCACCAGCTTGTTAATGTGAAACGTTAACTCCAGCAGCTCTCCCATCCCCTCCCCTCTCCCATCCCTCCATCCAGTACTGTGATACATCCTGCTCTCCATTCTTCTGTTCACCTCTATTAGGTAGAAAAAACCTACACAGTAGTGTGTGTGTGTGTGTGTGGGGGGGGGGGGGGGCAGAGGACACTGCTATGGGGGGGTGTTGATGGGAAGGGGGGCAAAGGAGGACACTGCTTTGGAGGGGCACATGTCACAGCTGTGTGGGGGAAGGGCAGGGGGCACTACATAGGGAATGGATTTGTATAGGGGGCAGAGGACACTACAGTGTGTGTTTGGGGAGGGGAGGATGTGCAGGGGGGCAGAGGACATTGTTATGGGAGGGGCAAAGAACACTACAGTGTACAGTGCGGGTGATGTGAAGGGGGGGGGCACAGGGCACTGCTGTGGGGGGGCAGAGGACACTGCAGTGGGGGGGATGATGTGAAGGGGGGCAGGACACTGCTCTTGTTATGCAGAGGAAAATACTGTATGGGGATGGGGGGCAGAGGACACTAGAGTGTACAGTGGGGGTGATGTGAAGGGGTGGGGGCAGAGGACACTACAGTGGGGGGGGTGATGTGAAGGGGGGCAGGACGCTGCTCTTGTTACGCAGAGGACACTACTGTATGGAGATGGGGGGGGGGGGGGGCAGAGGACACTACTGTGGGGGGGATGATGTGATAGGGAGCAGAGGACACTACTTTGGGAGGGTGGGGGGCACAGGACACTATGCTGTGTTTTAATTGAGGGCTGCTAGTCCCCCCATGTTGTCCAGATAGATCGCAACCTCTGAAAGGTTGCCTACCCCTATTCCAGATGAATCTGAGGAGTCCTTGATTTGGCCTGCTAGATTCTTAGGTAGCTAGAACATCAGTCAGCGAGATGTTCATGTTGGATGCCCATTGCTCCCTACACAGAGATTTTTTTTTTTTTTCAATTATGATGATGAGGTCACATTATGTGGTCACCCTTGCAGAGTTTGGGAACTAAATGTCAGAACTTGTTTTTCATTCCTACAGATCCAGACAAAGAGAGAAAATTGAAGCAGACATTCCTGCTGTGAAGAACGTTGGCACCTCCCCTACATCGTATTCAAACACAGAGGACAGAAACTTCTCAAACATACACATTAAAGAGGAACCCTTCTCAGATGAAGAATATCCTCTGGACAACTCCATAAATGGTATACAGTATCCACCCATTCATATCAAAGAAGAATCCTGCGAAGAAGAACTTGTTCCATTCGAGATGGACTATACAACTGTTGTTGTCGATGATTACCCCATGTCCTGTGAAGACATCACGTGTCCTTCCCGAGCTGAGGTCCCTATGCCGGCACACCAGATGAAGGAGGAACTGTTTTCAGACGATGAAAATCTCCTTCACTCCAATGTCCCCACATCTGCACGTGATATATGGTCTACATCCAATGTTAAGAAGAAACGTCTCTCATCTGAAGGACATCTAATGCCACCTGATACTTCCACACCTGCCCCCCAACTACAGCACACATTGAAGAATCAGGCTGCCATCAGTGATACACGACCAAGGAATAACTTCTCAGACAGTCTTCCTCACTTTGAGGGACCTCGGTCAAGCTCTACCAATCCTGAATCCATGGAGATCACTGTGACGGTGAACAACTGTTCCAAATGCGAGGAAAGCTTCACCAGCAACGAGGAACTTCTGCAGCACAAACTGATTTACCATCAGGAGAAACTGCCGAGCATCCATTCTGAGCCAGTGCAAGAGATGAATCCAGAGACAGCAGTGGTGACAGATGCAAAGGCTGTTCGCAGGACTCCACCGTTCAAGTGTCAGTACTGCGGGAAGGTGTGCAAATCTCTAAATTTCCTGTCCAGGCATGAGGAGATCCATCAGACCAAAACCTACACTTGCTCAGAATGCGGAAGGTGTTTCACCAGTTCCATTGGCCTCACAGTCCACCAGAAGACCCACAAGGTTGACTACCCCAAGTGCAGGCAGGCCTTCCTCATTGACTCCAACTTAATTCTACAGCAGCAGGTCTGTACGGCTCAAATATCAATCATCTGCTTTGAGTGTGGTAAGGTATTCGAGGTCAAGCAAAGCCTCAAGGAGCATGAGTCTTTACACGAGGACAAAACCATTTACCGGTGCTCCGAATGCCAAAGCCGCACCAAGGGCTCTATCGATGGAAGAAAGCCACAACTTTTAAGGACTGCAGAAGACATTATACTGCAGCAGAATGGATATTAAATTGTCGGTTGGATGTTGAAAAAGACGTAGAGTTTCTTATGCTAAGTGGATGCGGTCTGGAACTGGATTTGACATCCACTAGAGTGAAAAAACGGCTGGGACAAGTCGTAAATGTGGAAAGGTGAACCTGTGAGAATAAAAATACATTGAATTCTGTTTGAAGGTTCAAACTCCAGGCTGTCCCCATCCCAACTTTTATCTTGGATGTTGAGTCACAGACCTGGAACTGGCATGGAGCCAGTAACGTGGTTGAACTGAACATGTTTGTTCCAGATCAGTAACTCATCAAGTAGTGGAGCAAGGTATGACTAGATGAAATGGGGTCCTTTTGCAAGTGGAGCCTTCCAGAGGTGTCACTGTTCTTATTTCTCAATTTTGGTAGGATATCTTCTTTCTAGAAAACAAAGAGCCCCACCACAGTCACACACTATTGTTATCATGACATTAGAGGGCAAAGGTCAAACCAGCCCAGTTGGTTTACAGCTCCCCCCCACCATGGTTGTCCCTGGTACAGCTTTAATACCCCAGACATTAGATTGGGTGGGGAAATCCACACGAATATAGGGACAGTATTACACACTCTATGGAGCTGCAATTGAACCTAGGACTCCAGTGCTACGGTGGGTGGACCTTCTACAGCTTCTCCCCAGTTGGAAGATAAATTGGTAAAGTAACAAAATCGGTCATTTTCGGTGATTCCTGCGGGTTTCCTTATTATTGTAATTTTGCTATTTAGATGCCATGTCAAAGGAAGATTTGGTCTTATACCTCTGAAATTTGTTAAAACGTCCAGAACGTTTTTACACATGTAGGCTGGCGTTGTCTTCGACAGCGGTTACTATTTTCAATAAACGATTTGTATTTTCACTAAGCGATGACTCCCAAGCTGTCCTGTGTTCAGTGCAGATTGAAGAGCTTCTAGGGCAGCCTTTCACAACCAGACGTCTTCCTGCTGACGCCCCGAAGGACCAAGCCCAAAACATCCCAAAGCCGCCACCTCGTAGAAAAATGCCTTCTGTCCCATGATATCAGCTTGTCCCAAGACATAGTGGTAGTGGACATAACCTTGGGCGTTCTCCAAACTCATCTCTAACCCAAACTCAGAAATTTTTTGTGCTCCTTTGAGCTGCAAGATGGGTCATTCCCTGCCTCCAAGCTCATGTGACCCGGCCTGAAACTCAAGTACAAAAAAGCTGGAGTTCAGAGGACGGCCAAGCTCACCGGTAGCTGGTAAGGTAATTGACTCAGCTGAGTATGCCCAAGATGGCTGCCTTACCTTCTAAGCTAGACATTCTCAACCAGAGTTCTGTAGAACCCTAGGGTTCCTCCAGAGGTTGCTAGGGGTTCCTTGAGCTGTGGCTGATTGACTTCCAATTTGATGGTGTCTACATAGTTCTGGTTTTCTTCAGTAAGCAATTTCTGCTTCTCAGATAAGTTCCCACTGACACCAATGATGTTTTTCATCTGTCTTTAAGAAAGAAATTCTTCCCAAAGACCAGAAATGTAAGGAGCATTCTTCATTTGGACCATCACACCAATGTACAGCGAGCTTTAGATGCACCAATCGTAACAGGGAATCCCCTGGAACCAAAAAGTTATTTCAAAGGTTCCTTCATGGTTGAGAGAGGCTGTTCTAGGGACTATAATGTCAGAAGGAGGTCTATGGTGTGGTAGTAATACCCCCAGGTGAGGTATAAAGCACAGCTATACCCCATATTCCTGCCTGGTCTATGGTGTGGTAATAATACCCCCAGGTGAGGTATGAGGCACAGTTACACCTCCTCCTCTTTGCTGCCGTGTGGTATAGTAATAATACCACCAGGGGAGGTATGAGGTACAGTTACACCCCCTCTTCCTGCCTGCCCCATGGTATGGTAATAATACCCTCAGGTAAAGTATGAGCAGGGTGGGCGCCACCCTAAGGCTGCTTAGGCAGCCGCCTTACGGTGCCAGGATGGGGGGAGAGGGCTGTAAAATCCCAATCCCCAGCTGCTTACCCCAACGAAATGCACCTTCGCCTGTGAACACAAAAATCCTTGCACCGGAATTGAGTAAGAGGCATACCTCTTCCCCCTGGATACCATATGGTATGGTAATAATACCCTCAGATGAGGTATGAGGCACAGTTACACATCCTCCACCTCCTGGCTACCCAATGGTATGGTAACACTACCCCCAGGTGAGATATGAGGCAAAGGTACACCCTATCATCTTGCTTGGGCCTATGGCATGGTAATAATACTCCCAGATGAGGTATGAGGCACAGTTACATACCCTCCTCCTGCCAGCCCCATGATATGGAAATATTACCCCCAGGTGAAGTATGAGCACAGTGGGTGCCACCATAAGGCTGCTTAGGGTGCCAGGATGGGGGGAGGGGGCTGTAAAATCCCAGTCCCCAGCTGCTTACCCCAACGAAATGCACCTTCGCCTCTGAAGACAAAAATCCTTGCACCGGCTCTGAGTATGAGGCACACCTCTTCCTCCTGGCTACCCTATAGTATGGTAGTAATACCCTCTGATGAGGTATGAGGCACAGTTAAACCTTCTCCTCCACCTCCTGGCTACCCTATGGTATGGTAATAATACCCTCTGATGAGGTATGAGGCACAGTTATACCTGTTCCTCCACCTCCTGGCTCCCCTATGTTATGGTAATAATACCCCCAGGTGAGGTATGAGGCAAAGTTACACCCTATTATCTTGTTTGGGCCTATGGCATGGTAATAATACTCCCAGATGAGGTATGAGGCACAGTTACACACCCTCCTCCTGCCAGCCCCATGGTATGGTAATATTGCCCCCAGGTGAAGTATGAGCATGGCGGGTGCCACCATAAAGCTGCTTAGGCAGCCTTTTTAGGATGCTAGCATGGGGGGGGTAAAATCTGAATCCCCAGCCATTTACCCCAACAAAATGCACCTTTGCCTGTGTGGACAAAAAACCTTGCACTGACCCTGAGTATGAGGCACACCTCTTCCTCCGGCTATCCTATAGTATGGTAGTAATACCCTCAGGTGAGGTATGAGGCACAGTTACACCGCCTCCTGGCTACCTTTTGTATGGTAATAATACCTTCAGATGAGGTATAAGGCACAGTTACACCCCCTCCTGGCTACCCATGGTATGGCAATAATACCTCAACGTGAGGTATGAGACACAGTGACATCTCTTCCCCTTTGCTTGCCTTATGGCATGGTAATAATACCCCCAGGTGAGGTATAAGGCAATGTTACACCCCATCATCTTGCCTGGGCCTATGGTATGGTAATGAGGTATGAGGCACAGTTACACCTCCTCCTGGCTACCCTATGGTGTGGTAATAATACCTTTAGGTGAGGTATGAGGCACAGTTACACCCCCTCCTGTCTACCCCATGGTATGGCAATAACACCTCAACGTGAGGTATGAGACACAGTGACATCTCTTCCCCTTTCCTTGCCCTATGGCATGGTATTAATACCCCCAGGTGAGGCATAAGGCACTGTTACGCCCCATCATCTTGCCTGGGCCTATGGTATGTTAATGAGGTATGAGGCACAGTTATACCCCCTCCTGGCTACCCCATGGTATGGCAATAATACCTCAACGTGAGGTACGAGGCACAGTGACATCTCTTCCCCTTTCCTTTCCTTTCCTTATGGCATGGTATTAATACCCCCAGGTGAGGTATAAGGCACTATTACACCCCATCATCTTGCCTGGGCCTATGGTATGGTAATGAGGTGTGAGGCACAGTTGAGCCGCCTCCTCCTCCTGGCTGTCATACTGATTATCCCATAAATGTGGAGAACATGCCCTTTATTTTGCCCTTTATTTCATAAATGATTTAAGAAAACGTAAAAAAAAAACCCTTAAAACTGAAGGACACTTGGCTGTCATCCCCAATGCTCATCAAGCCAGATATGGGCTAGCCTAGCAAATAAAAAGGTGTGCTGGGGTGTCGCTCTTAGTCTGGTCCATTGCCTTAAGATTCGTCCTGCTGGGATTCCTCTATCAGGGGCAATGGCCCCCACTGGTACAGCTCCCAGGGCGGCACACAAGCCATTCCACCTCGACAAGTTGGCAACACCATCAGAAAAGGGCTTCTTATGTATCTATGCACATAGATCGGGCGGAAAGAGGGTAGGTAAAGGTTGGTACTTTGGCCTTCATCCGATAATAGGGACAGAGATGTCCTACCATTTTGATTAGGCAATTTATTGAATGAGTAAAAAATAAGTAAAGAGTTACAGATATGAATATATTATGTAGTCAAAACAATCAAGCGCTGGACCCGAGCACCTCATTCCAGCTCGGTGTAAAGTTCACAAGAAGACCGCAACAACCAGAATAACCTGTCCCTCCTACTTGTTTGGGTGAAACGTTGAAGTCAACTTCTAACCCAGGGACATTCTTCAAAAAAACATCTACAACAAAGGTAAAAGACTCTGAGCAGGGAAATGAGTGCAAGGGCGTGTTTTTGAGAATCTTAAAGAGAACAAAAATGAAAAACAGGAGAGATGTGATAAGTGATTTGCAATGTAGGAAAGCTTGACCTGTCTTTCAAAGTTGGCAGGTCGTACACCTGACATAAAGCCTGATTTATCCCACCACTGAAATCTCTGATGTTCTTCAGCCCTCCCGGGCTGAAAGAAGGGTTATTGAGTAGGATAGCAAGCGGCATGTGTGTGTGATAACAATCATCCCAAATATTTTACCGAGTCCCATATTCTCAAAGAATATTTAGGCAATGGGTTGGTGAAGTGTTTACGTAGATCTAGAATTGTCCATTGGACTGTATCTATAGCTACAGCCCCATTACGTAGTCTTGGTTTCCTTCAAAGAGCTCAAAGGTGTTTTTTCACCCAGGCCCCCAAATCATATCCAGAGAATACATTT